CTATGAGGAGCGGATTAAGGAGCTGGGGATGTTTAGCCTGAAGAAGAGAAGGCTGAAAGGAGACACAATAGCCATGTATATGTATGTGAGAGGAAGTCACAGGGAGGAGGAAGCAAGCTTGTTTTCTGCTGCTCTGGAGACTAGAATGCGGAACAATGGCTTCAAACTACAAGAAAGGAGATTCCACCTGAACATTAGGAAGAACTTCCTGACTGTGAGAGCTGTTCAGCAGTGGAACTCTCTGCCCCGAGTGTGGTGGAGGCTCCTTCTTTGGAGGCTTTTAAACAGAGCTGGATGGCCATCTGTCAGGGGTGATTTGAATGCAATATTCCTGCTTCTTGGCAGGGGGTTGGACTGGATGGCCCATGAGGTCTCTTCCAACTCTTTGATTCTATGATTCTATGATTCTATAAAACCCCATGGCATTTGAATGAAAACGGGAATAGGCAAATGAAATGTGGCTACCATTAGTGTTGAATTTAAACAGGGTTCAATTTTTGACATTGAAACTCACCCTACTAATGCGATCGAAAATTGATGGTTTTGTCTTTTGTCCCCAAAGTGAATATTAAGCAAATCGACCTACCTCCCTCACATTAATAGTGGTAGAGTAACAGAAGAAACTATTTCCTACTCTTTCAAAAAGAAAGCGGTTCATTCCCTGGAATTTGTATGGGAGTTCTTCAGGGAGAAAGGCTCCTGTAACCAGTTGTGTTGACAACATTCCAGAGACCCAAGAGACTGGCTGGTGCCTGATATGGGTTGAATGTGCCCCTCAGAAAGCACCCAGAATGTGCCAAAGTGTGCTGGGTTTCCATGGCAGACACAATGACATGTAAAAAAAAATTCCTGAATGTAAGGTTGCTATTACATGGGTAAAAAAGTTCAAAGACTATAATGCAAAGTTTGAACTTTTAACAAAATCCTATAGGCACACACAAATTGTTAATCGCTTCATCGGAAATACTTAATTTCTCAACGCTGTTCCAGCTCTGAATAAATATATCTCCCTTCACATTCAGCCTGCTTCATTTCCTTCTCCTCTCAGATGTATAGGTAAAGGTAGTCCCCTGACATTAAGTCCAGTCATGTCTGACTCTGGGGTGTGGTGCTCATCTCCATTTCTAAGCCGAAGAGCCAGCGTTGTCTGTAGACACCTCCAAGGTCATGTGGCCGGCATGACTGCATGGAGCGCTGTTACCTTCCCGCCGGAGCGGTACCTATTGATCTACTCACATTTGCATGTTTTCGAACTGCTAGGTTGGCAGAAGCTAGGGCTGACAGCGGAAGCTCACGCCGCTCCCCGGAATCGAACCTGCGACCTTTTGATCAACAAGCTCAGCAGCTCAGTGCTTTAACCCACTGCACCACCGGGGGCTCCCTGCAGATGTATACTTAGTGATAATTTAAGAAGCTCTTTTCTCACATTCAGTACTGAGAGACTGATAAGGATAGATGAAAACACAGCATCAGCATGAGCCATGAGGACCGTGGACAATGACTGTGGTCTGTATCTGCATAAATCCCACTGACTCAGCTGTCAGAGTAGGGATCTATTGCACAAAAGCCACTTTTACTTGCATGACTGACCTCCACTTTGCTTGGACCAGATTATCCTTGGATCAATTGGTTGGAGAATAAGAGATTATTGAAGAAAATTCTATAATTACATGCTCACAGAAAGGATGGGTGGGGATGACAAAACCTTTGCACTTGAAATCTCACTACCTTGATTAATATTGGGGAGAAAATAAGAAATTAAATATTTTGATGCTTCGCTCACAAAAGAAACACACAAACACTGAACAGGGCTGTTCTTATGGTACTAACATCAAGCAGGGCCATATGTTTGGCAGAGGCTCATAGCTGTTATTTACTTTATGTTAGCGCCTACAGGGTTCCCAATCAGCGAATCGTTGTCTGGCACTGGGTGCCCATCTAATTAAAAAGCATCCTCGCTTTTCTTTCTTCTTTTAGTTTACACGACAAGCCCAAAGCCATTGTGGAATTTCTTTAAAACAGCAGGCAACCACTGGTTTTCAAAGACCAAGCTTTTGCAGTTTCTACATTTGCATCTGGAGTTTCTGAGAGACCAAACGGTGCCATGTGAGCACTTACATAAATATGTCATATAAAGCAAATCAAACCCACATGGTTAAAAGGACAATTATGGTTTCCAAAATGCTTCGAACTTTTAGAAACAGGGGCATCAAGCTTGCAGGTGTCAGTCACACAGACTGGGGGAAGCTTCTTTACTTCTCAACATCTAAGGGCCCTCTCACACTGTACAATTATAGTATGGTGATTTCACTTTAATTGCTACAGAAATAGAAAAAAACCCTTCACAGTTCCAGGTCTGTGAAGAAAATATGCACAACAGGCATTTTGATGGTGCAAAGTAAAAAATATACACAGAGATGAGCTTGGAGCATGGATGCATGAAAAGGAAATCAAGACAGCGAGTGCCAGAACAACAGCTATGTACGAGGGGTATTTTTTAAGTAAGGTCTGTTTTGTTGTAGACACTAGTAGTTCGTGCGCATACCGCAATGAGTGCGTGCGTCATGGATGAAATATGTCAAAATAGGACTGGGTTTAGTCTATATGATCTCTCGAGATTCTTCCCAAAGCATTGATTTTTGGTTCTAAAAAGTCTACAAATGAGACATCATAAGTTGCCTAAGGCGTACTTGATTCTAAGCCTGGGACTTGTTTAACAGTTCTGGCCAAGTGTCTCTTCATTTTGATACAGAGATCAACTCATTTCTATCAACAGACAGGGAGAGATGGTCAAGGAAATAATCTGAAATTGTTTTGCAAAGGGAGCGCTATGTCTCCTTCCCAGCATTTGACTTTAAATGGTTTAATCAAGTTCTGTATGTATCAGTGTACATGTGTGAAGAAATTGCCTAAGGCACAATCTATACTACCCTATAACCCAGTTTCGGATTATGGATTACCACATTGATCAGCAGCATTTGATACGGTCGATCACAATCTATTGACCCACCGTCTAGCCATGACTGGGGTCAGGGGGATACCCCTTATATGGGTGTCCTCCTGCCTCCAGAATCGGGGACAGCGTGTGGTGAGGGGAGGGATGGTTTCCGAGAGATCTCCGCTAACTTGCGGGGTCCCGCAGGGAGCTATTCTCTCTCCTCTATTATTTAACATCTATATGCGACCGCTTGCCCGACTGGTGCGGAGCTTTGGGCTTGAGTGCCACCAGTACACTGATGACACTCAGCTCATTCTGAGGATGGAGGGCCGGCCGGACTCTGTACCCGAAAATTTCCATCAGTGCATTGAGGTCATTACTGGATGGTTGCGTGCCAGCAGGTTGAGCGTGAATCCAGCGAAGACGGAGATCCTTTGGCTGGGCCTTCTGGGTGGGAGGGAGATCCAGCTGCCTACCCTGGATGGCGAGACACTACGTCCGTCATCTTCTGTAAAAAAAACCTTGGTGTCTTATTGGACCCTCTGCTCACAATGGAGGCCCAGGTCTCTGCTGTGAGCAGATCTGTGTTTTTCTACCTACGTCAGGCTAGGCGACTGACTCCCTTCCTATCTAGGAACAACCTGGCTACGGTGATCCAGGCGACAGTCATCTCGAGGCTTGACTACTGTAACGCCCTCTACATTGGCCTTCCTTTGTCAGTGATCCGGAAACTGAAGCTGGTGCAAAATGCGGCGGCTCGTCTTCTCGCTGGGGTGCCGGCGAGGTGTCCTATCACCCCAATTCTACAACATCTGCACTGGCTTCCGACTGAGTACTGGATTACTTTCAAGGTGCTGGTACTAACCTTTAAGGCCTTATATGGTCTGGGGCTGGCGAACCTGAGGGCCCACTTATCTCCCTATCAACCCCAGAGATTACTTCGGTCCGAAGACCAGAATTTGCTTGAAGTCCCCAACATCCGGACTTATCATCTGTCCTCTACTAGGCAGACAGCCTTCTCGATTGTGGCCCCTTATTTATGGAATGCCTTGCCAGTTGAAACCCGAACCATCCGAGAGCTACTTGCTTTTCGGAAAGCCTGTAAAACCTTTCTTTTCTGACAAGCTTTCGATGGGTGAATAACTCGAGACTATGTCTGTTCTCGTTTTTATTGTATTTTAAAGTTGGTTGTATTGTTTTAATCTACTGCTGTAAACCGCTCCAAGCCAAGGGAGTGGCGATATACAAGTCAAATAAATAAATAAATAAAATTATAGGACAGCATAGATGGATATATTCCAATGTAATTAATCTGCATACTGAAATTGGATTATAGGGGAGTGTAGATCCAGCCTGACGTTTTATGCTGATCTATGGCCATAATAAAGAAAGACTTGAGATTCATCCTCAAACTGAGAAGGTCTGAGAGGGTCAGAGTTCTTTCTGTAATAATCTTAACATGCAGTTTGCTTCCCTACTAGATCTGATTTGAAGGCAGCAGATATTGAATTGTGTTCTCGAGTATCAAGCTTGATTTACAAAAAGACATACAAATATTACAATATGTCATAGTCTCTAGTGACTTTATTCCATGAAGGAAACTTGCTTCCTGGTAAGTATTGTTTTCACCACTTGGAGAAGTAGGGTGCACATACTGTTTCAAACATCTGATTATAATCCAAAGGCAGGAGGATCTTTATTCCAGATGTGCTTGTTTTATTACAGAGCCAGATCCCACAATCACTTTTTTTTTGCAACAAAATAGATTTCTGGCTGTTAGACCACTACCAACAGCCACCAAAAGTACAAATGTTGAACACCTCTGTCTTAAAGTTACAATGCAAGACAAAATGGATTTTACAAATTTACAAATACACACACACAATCCTAATTCGTTTTATTGATTTGTGGTCATATCAGGCTGGCGCTGAGTGGTTGGAAAGGTGGTAAACATTACAACTAGTTCTCAAAGGAAAGTTGCAGTGCATCGTAACCTTAGTTACTTATTTAATAAATAAATAAAAAATAAAATGTAGTTTGATAAAATATATGCCTGACTTACCATTAAGCCACCGGGAATCGTGCTGTTCTGTCCTGATTGGGTGGTGGTGTCCCAGTGTGCGGAAAATGGCAAAATCTCTCCCCATGAAGTCTGCTGCTGTTCCAGAATAAAGTTCACCATCTGTAACATTGCATAAAATTGCCCTTAGTATGAGTCAGTGAGCTCACCATAGCAATGTATTATAAAGCAACGAACAAGAATGCCAATGCGTGACATATACTTCCTACTGAAAGTTATTTGCATGACTGGAAATCTAGCCTACACCTGCCTTTAATTTACAGAGCTTGCCTTTTTATATTTTTTAGTCCAGAGCTACATTCTGGGTAGACTTTTACAGCATGATTTTGCCTTAGAGGAGACAGTGCTGAAAACAATATAGGCGGCGTGGCTTTATTACAAACATACAGGTTAAGCAGACTAGCAAACATTTAAATCAGTTGTGTTGAGTTTAAATTTGAATGCTAGTCCTGATTTAATTAAGTGATGACGTTGCGAGGAGGTGATTCAGAGTGGAGAGAAAGCACACGTGCTGTCGTGTGACAGGAGAGTAGAGGGAGGTTTATTGTTTATTTCTCTGAATTCTGCCACCAACTGGTATAGTGGAGGCCAATTGTTATATGTAATCTATGGTAACTGCCACCAACGTGAGATATGAGGTATTACTGTGAGATATGGCAATACAGACGCAGAATGGATGGAAATGAGACTGTCTTCAACGAAAGATAACTGGTTTATTGAGTACAAAGCGTGTGGTTGCAAGTTGTAACTTATTTTATAGAACTTTGAATAATACTTGGTTAGTTAAACATTTCACTCTTCCAGGTTACACAGTATCTTACTGAGGTGAAGCTCTTGTTACTAAACAATGTTTCAGTACAGGAATATCTTCCCTATTTGATCTTTCCTTGATCAAATAAATTAACAAGCTTATCCTTTAGCCTTTCCCTTGACTAAAGAAAACTGGCTATGTTTCTCCTTTCAACCTCCTTAGACTGAGAAACCTCCAGTAGCTATTCAGGCTTCCCCAAAGCCACAATTCTTTGCTTCACACTTCACTCTCCCACTCTACTCTTCACTTCTTCTCTTTTACTCCTCTCAGATACAAAATCAACTCCCAACTGACTCTCAAACTGTCTGTTTTCAAAACTCTCTCCACTTGGCTCCTCCCACTCCTCCTTCTGCCAGCTTGCCTTGGTCTCCATGGTAACGCTGACTGAGGATCTCTGAAATAGGCTGCTCCAGTGTTACTGTAGCTAACCCAAACACTAGGGCTGGGCGGTTTCGTTTCGTTAATTCGTAATTCGTTAATAATTCGTTAATTTTTTCAATTACAAAACGATAACGAACCATTCTGGAGCAATTATTTAAAAAAACGAATTTTCAAAAACGTTTTGTAAATGCTTCGTATTTCGATATTGTATTCGTTTCGTTATTGTTTTGAGGTCGTTTCGTTATTATTTCCGCATGTCTGGGCCAGTTTTATGGTTTAATTAGTGAAAAAGAATTATAATATCACACCAACAGTCAACAACAGAGGGAGAGGGAAGCTTCAGAAGGTTTTGGAGGTTTTTTAGCGTATTTCGCGGTCGCGTCCGCCATTAACGAATCGATTCGTTATTGTTTCGTAAATCGATTCGTTAATTTTTTACCATTTACGAAATTTCGTAAATATCGAACTTTTTAAAAGGAAAATTTTGTAATTATTTTAAATATCGAAACAAAAAAACCCCCCAAATACAAATCGATTTTAGAAACAAATTTTTCCGTTGTTACCTACCAAACACACACATATATACAGTTTAAAACATGCAAAGTATTAATCACTTCTGCACAACATCATTAAACAATTGATCCATATTCTGCTTATAATAGGCAACTGCATTTAAACCTATATTGATTAATCCCCAAAGTGAAAGTAATATATTGTCGAAGGCTTTCATGGCTGGAATCACTAGGTTCTTGTGGGTTTTTTTCGGGCTATAGAGCCATGTTCTAGAGGCATTTCTCCTGACGTTTCGCCTGCATCTATGGCAAGCATCCTCAGAGGTGTGAGGTCTGAAAGTAATATGATCATAAGCAAGAGAGGGCTGGGCTGTGATAACTCATCAACACAGGGAAAATGAAATGGATCATGCCCATGTCACTGCCTTTACTGCTCCCAGAACTCTGTGTGATGTATTATTATTATTATTATTATTATTATTATTATTATTCTTTATTTGTACCCCACTAGCATCTCCCAAAGGACTCGATGCGGCTTACAAAGGCCGAGGCCTCAACATAACAACAACATAAAATGATACAACTCAAAGCAAATCAAAAACATAAAGCAATATTGACATCATAAACACAGTAAAACCAAGGCTGGGCCAAGTAGTGGGTACAGATTAAAAAGTGCTGGGTGTGATAGGTGGCATATTGGTTTTCAGGGCATGTGCAATGTGCAGAGGATCTTAAAACTCTAATAAAGTGCTTCTGGGACATAGTGCTGAAGGCACATCGGAACAACCAGGTCTTCAAACTCTTCCTAAAGCCTGCCAACGTGGGTGCTAATCTGATATCTTTGGCGAGGGTGTTCCAAAGTCAGGGGGCAACCACAGAAAAGGCCCTATCCCTTGTCCCCTTCAACCGCGCTTGCGACACCGGTGGGATCGCGAGCAGGGCCTCCCCAGATGAACGAAGGGAGTGCGTGGGTTCATAGTCGGAGATGCGGTCACTCAGGTAGGCAGGTCCCAAACTGTTTAGGGCTTTGTAGGTAAGCACCTGCAGCTTGAATTGGGTTCGGTAGGTAAACGGCAGCCAATGGAGCTCCTTAAACAGGAGGGTTGATCTCTCTCTGTAAGGAGCGCCAGTTAATATTCTGGCCACCGCCCGTTGGACCAGTTGGAATTTCCGAGCCGTTTTACCACTTAACTACACAGAGAAAGGTGTGCTTCCTTGATGGAGTTTGCTGGGTGCCATCATGTGACACAAGGCTACTTCCTGTGGGGCTCCATAGAGGAAGCATCTTGACATCATGCTAGGATGCATCTCCGAGAACACAGGAGGGTTCTTGTGTTCTCATCCAGAAGAACGGAAGGAAGTTGAGTGGTGATGCTTTCTCCCATATGATGGAGAAAGCAGAGCAGTGGGCAATGTAAGGAATGGGATGATGGATCTCCCTGCTGCTCACTGGATTTGCCACACTGCATGGTGAATCCCCTTGTTACTACTTGGCTTATTGACCTCAGTGTGATGAGGTCTCCAGCGTTATTCAGACATCAACAGAAGTGTCTATGTGACGAGGAAGGAGGGGGAGATTAACTCTCTCCATCTTCCTGGTTTATTTATTTTTATTTTTTTAATATTTTTATTGGCTTTCTTAGAATACATCAATACATCAATACCTTCAATAATCTTATATTCCATCCTCAATTCATTACATTAACCAAAATGTATATATATCTTGTATACTTTTTTCTCCCACCTCTGTACCCCCCCCCCTTCCGAGCCACTTCAATTTGCATTCTCTTTCCAAAATACCATTTCTTCTTGTGGAGGTAATTTCCCATCTACTTCTTTTAAGCCATTCACAATAAATTTTCCCCAAACTTTATCAAAATCATTTTCCTTCCATACCCTTTTCTTGACTCTTAACCTACATGTCAATTTATAATTTATTGCTATTTTCCATAATTCTTTATACCATTCTTCAATTGATATGTTTATTTTACCTTTCCAATTCTTCTCTATCAGTAATTTTGCTGCAGTTAACGTTATATATTGCATCGTTCTGTTTTTTTTTCAATTTCTTAACAATATATAGTGACAACAATGCAATACTTGCACTTTTCCCTATCTTCATATCCATTATAGCTTCTATCTCTCCAAATACCTTCCCCCAAAATTCATTTACATATTTTCCTGTTTTATTTATTTACAGCATTTCTACCCCGCTCTTCTCACCCCCGCAGGAGGACTCAGAACAGCTAACAATGGCAACGATTGGAATGTGCAATAATTACAATTATAAAAGCGAAATAAAATCATAAAATATAATACATTAAAACAGCATTAGTTTTCCTAACTAATAGCTGCATGAGTGTCTTTGCTGATACTATGATAGAATACCCATGACCATCAGGAGCTCACATGGAACTCCACAGCAGGCTGGGAGTGGTAACGATGATATGGAAGGTGGTACCAATTCAGTCTAGGCCTAGCTGAATTATGTAGATTCTAAGCGGTTCTGGTCCAGTTTACTTGTCCGAACATATCTCCCGCTACGATCCACCTAGGGCCCTAAGATCAACTGGGGAGTACCTGCTCGTTGTTCCCCCATTATCGCAATCGTGGTTGGTGGGGATAAGAGACAGGGCCTTTTCTGTGGTGGCCCCTCGACTGTGGAACTCCCTCCCAAGCAAAATCAGATCTGCTTCATCCCTCCTGACCTTTTGGAAACAAGTGAAGTCCTGGCTATAGGATCAGGTATTTGCAGATTAGGGTGACCTGCTGGCGTGACGGTTTTTACGGAACTGACTGACTGCCCCTAGGACGATGACTTAAACCGGTGACTTTTGACTTTTGAATGTTTTATACTGTTTTTATATTGTTTTATATTGTTTTATTGTTATATTGTATTTAAATTGCACATTTATGTTTTTGGTTGTGGGCACCATGGGGTGCCGTTTTGTTAGCCGCCCTGAGTTCCTCTGCGCAGGTCAAGATAGGATGGGATACAAGTGTGCGAAATAAATAAATAAATAAATAAACCACTGCCACAGCAGGTTCATAGAATCATAGAATCCTAGAATCAAAGAGTTGGAAGAGACCTCATGGGCCATCCAGTCCAACCCCCTGCCAAGAAGCAGGAATATTGCATTCAAATCACCCCTGACAGATGGCCATCCAGCCTCTGTTTAAAAGCTTCCAAAGAAGGAGCCTCCACCACACTGGGCAGAGAGTTCCTCTGCTGAACGGCTCTCACAGTCAGGAAGTTCTTCCTCATGTTCAGATGGAATCTCCTTCTTGTAGTTTGAAGCCATTGTTTCACGTCCTAGTCTCCAGGGAAGCAGAAAACAAGCTTGCTCCCTCCTCCCTGTGACTTCCTCTCACATATTTATACATGGCTATCATGTCTC